GTCCTGGACTTGTTCTTAACTTGTCGTGGTTGACACAAAGTCCCCGAACTGTTAAGATCCCTATGCTAGAAATCCAGATAGATGTAGATAGAGAAGCAGAGAACCTGGTAATTGGGGCATTGTGCCATGACATCCTGGCCTGGGTAGATGGGCTGGTGGAAGATTTGGATTGCAGGTCTGGGGGCAACAGCAAAGAAATAAACTCTTGACGCACAGGCCCACCTTGCAGTCGCAGGCCCAAAATAGACACTTGAAATAACAATTGGCAGTATTGTCAGGGAAGCCATTAGTTGCTTTCAGAAGGTCTCTTCCTGGATGCATCGGGCGGTAAGTATGAAGCCGCAGCGCTACAAGAATGGAAGCATTGTCCCCTGCAGTGCTGAGTTCAGCAAGGCATCAGTGACGGGTGGTATGGCAGAGGGTGGGGATCTGTTGCTAGATGAGGTCTGGTTGGCTTTAGTCAGGAGCAACGTTGGGTTCGTACAGTGGCTATGCTCCACCTGCTCCCACTTGCACAAGCCACGCTAGGAAATGCAGCAATAAAACCACTTCTAGAGTATCCCCCGTGACTGCTCTCAAGCACGCCGGAGATGGCGGCCTTGAGCAGCTGTGGGGCGATGCCCCTGGAGTGGCTTCACAGCTGCATTGCTGGGTTTGGCATGTGGAAGTGATGTGCAGGTTTGCCCTTCTCTGTCTCTGGTCAGGCTGACTTCCAGTTAGAGAGACAGAGTCTTATGTTCTGAAGCTTTAGTACCAATGAAAACCCCCTGAATAAAACTGCTGGTCTTAAACAAGACTCTGTTGGAGATAAAGGCCCTACACTGGTTGACAGGTTAAGAGGGAGTGGGAGCTTTGTCTTGCTGGTGAGCTTGATGCTGGAAGGTTACTACCCTTTTAGCAGTGATTAGCTTGGTCTGAGTGGATGTTGTGATGTGGATCACTTATCCCACTAACGGGATTAGCACCAGGCCAATGGGGGCAGGAGAGGTTGGTAAATTATGTTGAAACTCTGTCTCAATCCAGTTTACCTATCTTTTTTTATTCCTCCCTCCCTCCCTGAGATGAGGCATTTGCAAGTTTGTTGGCGTGTCTCTCTCTCTCGCTCTCATCCAGCAGCGTGGTCTGTGTGCTGCTTCCAGTGTGACTCAGCAGGGCCCTCGGCGCATTCCCCTTCCCCTGCATGGAGCGCGGCGCTCTGCGTTTCTCTCTCGGTCTCGGTACATGCACTGCCTGGTGCTGCTCCGAGGCGCAGTGGAGTTTTGGGCGTGGGCACTCTCAGAAGTCTGTGGTTTGAGTTGAGCGTGCTAAGAGTTCAACATGAATGCAACGTGAACTCAGGATTTCCTTTTGAAGTTTGACACCAGGGATTTTCCCCACCCACTGGGAGGACTAAAAAAAAAAAAAAAAAAAAGAAAAAGAAAAAAACCCCCTTTTAAACTGCTGGCAGAAACATGTAGGGAAGTAGTAGTTGGGGGTAGGGGGAAGGCTGCTGCCTTTATCTGAAGGACCAGTTCTGACTCATGAGCACATGTGCAGGTGAAGGCCTGCTGCTTTGCTGGCTGCAACCAGGCTTCTGAATGATCTTCTCTTCCTTCCCTTATCAAGGGGGGCGGAGGAGGAGTTTACATAGCCGAGCGAAGATCTCGGACAAGTGTAGCTAGTAGGAGGCTTCTTAAAGAGCTGAAACTTGGTAGTGCTGGGGTTTTGAGAGCGATGCGCTTTCCATTGAACCCATGCTACAGAACCTAGATCTGGATCTTTACAGCCACCCTTCATCTCTAATTGGCAATGCCAAAGCCCTGAATCTGAACACTGAAGGAGCTGGGCAGAACTACTTACCTGGCAGGGGAGCCACCATGATGGTGGTGTTGGCTCAGGTGGTTTTACTGTACCTGGCAGGGGAGATCCCCTTCTTCCCAGCCTTGAATGACTTGGTGTAGTTGAGGGTGGAGACCTGTCTGTTGCCCGGCAGGCAGGCACCCCTGTGAGAGTCTACAACTGCCTCCAAATGTGAGGATCTCGGTTACACAATTTATGGTGATGGGGGATTGCTCTCAAGCTTGCTCCATGAGCCTTTTGACCAGGGGGCTTCTGAACCCCCAAGGCCTTTCAGCTTTGGAGGTTGCTCATAGGATGCCTGCCATGGATTTGAGAGTCTCTGAAGTCCCAGGCCAAAGAGGCTGGGAGGTAGGATACTTGCTGGTGGTAGTGCCACACAGATTTGGATGACTGAGCTCTGCTCGATCAACAGAATTCAGAACTGATTTGGCTGATTTGGCCTGAGACACTAAATTAAAAAACAAAACAAAAAACATTGAAGGATCTGGGCATATGAGCTGGATTTTGCAGAAAGCCTTCTCTGTAAGGGGCTGAAAGGCTGTGAAATCTTCAGTTGCTCCGAAGTTGGGGTAGAGGCTCCTAGATCCAGATCTGAATATCAATCCAGGGACTTTTCTACAGTTTTGCAGTGTGCACTAGGGCTGGATTTTCTTATCCTCACACTTTGAGTGGAGCCTTGCTCCATGGGCATCTCCACTGATGTTAAGGTCCCAAATTGTACAGTAAGGTGCTTTTGTAACATGAATAAAAATACTAGAGCCTGGCCCTTGGTGATTTCATTGGGACTTCAGGTTATGGATAGCAGGATGGAGTCCATGAACATGCTGTTTTGTTCTACCTGTCAGTGGAAAATAATATTGCAAGAAATAGACCAGAGGTGTGGGGAACTGAAGCTTCTCTCTATAGAAGTATCATGGGGAACTTCTTTTTTTGTTCCTGGTTGCCCTAGCGTTTTAGTTGCACGTTGAGCCCCAGATGGAACTTGCCTGAAATCTCCTATCAAATTCTTTAAAGTGGGTAATCAGAGGCCATGTGGTTGGGGCAGGTTTGTGATAGTCCAGGAGTCTTTCTGGGAAGCCGGGGTGACTGATGGTTTTTCTCCTGTGCAGAGTTTGAAGAGATCCCCCTACTATTGAAAAGAGGACCTACAATCCTAAACCACACACCATTGTCTTAAGCAGAAATGGGCCTGGGCCATGGGCTGCAGACTTTCCAAGAGTCTGGAACTGGAACCAACCTTTTGGTCTGTGGCTTTTTTTTTTTAATACCTCTCTAGCCCTTTTCTGTTGCAAGGTGAATTGTAGTGAGTGCTACAGTGCAGGATGTTGGAAGAAGGCAAGCCTGCATCTCCTGCACACAAGATCCAAGTCTCTTCAGAACAGCAATATCCACTGGGGCTGTGCACGTGCCCTGCACCTAGGACAGCATGCAGTGCAGCGTGGCCATGATCCTCCTTCAGTTCCCTCTCCTTACTTGCACCCTTGTCTAGCAGAGCAGCAGGGAGAAGACTGGTTCTAGTGGCACCATTGCTGGCTGAGGATATTCCTCTGAGAGAGATGGATTAGAATTGGTGCTGAAGCACCTACTGGTATCAGTACAAGCCGTGGCAGGAAAAGCATGGTATTTCCCGAGGTTGCTGATGGAAGATGTCTATCCTGCCTTGTTTTCTGTGGGGCAAATACTCACATGATCTTAGAGCAGAGAACTGCCTCCTGCAGGTAGTGATTAACACCCTGGGGAGACCTGCTGACTGCCCTGCAGGGCTGATTTCAAGCCATTCCTGTTGAGACTGAAAGGTTTGGTCATTCCAGTGGCAGGTTGCTGTCATCCTATTGGGTATACTGGAGTCCCATCCCATACATCAGCTAGACCCTCCTGCACAGGAGGAAGAGGTCACTCTCCCTGTGGGTGTCTCTAGCCAGATCGCCCATGCAGGAAGTAACAAATGGAGGCATGGATCAGCAGCAGGGGCCAGGCCTGGCACTCGGCACTTGGCACTCGTTGTCAGCTGATGAAGCAGCATCCTTGACACTGAATGCCTTTGTACTCCCAGGAGCTCTGTGTGATGATTACCAAACCTTTGCAGAGAAACATCAGTTATCCTGGGCTGAAAGAGACTCTACAGCTCCACATGGCCTCTCAGGTTCAGGGTGGCAGCCCTTGGCTCCATTGCCAAATTTAAGCCTGGGCTGTAGTTCTCTGCTCACGGAGTTCATACTGCTGTATAACCATGCATCCGGTGCATGTGCAACACCTGAACGTCATTATGGAGGTCTAACTTTCAGGCCATTTGCACTGCTGGGAGTGTTTGTGAAGCACCTTGCTGTGTGCTTTGAATAGGCAGGGAAGCCAGGAAAGCCTTCAGTATCTTGTCCCTGTTCCCTCAGGAAGGACATCTCATGAATTATGAGAAAATTTCCCTTGGAATCGCAGACAAGTGAGTTCGTCGGTGCTGTGACCAATCTCTGATCAGAAAGGGTCTTTTTGCCAGATGACGGATTCTGATCTCTTCAGTGCATGGAAGGCAGTCCTTGTTGGCTGCTACCTTAGTGTGCCTCTTGGATGACTAGGATAGGTGTCAGCACTTAAATTCATGCCACTTTCCAGACTTCACCTATGGCCCTTATAGTTGAGGTCCGTGTACGCCTCATCTAGATTATTGCTTGAACAAGAGACTCAGTCCTTATGTCCTGTGGGAGCTTGATTGGTGGCTACATGCTGTGAAGATATTAGAAGGGGTATTCTCTGCCTCTTTCCTTTTGATGAAACCGCACAGATGCTTTAGGTAGACTAGCATGCCCACCTGAACCATCTGCAGAGGCATGAACATAGGGTAAGTCCATAGACTGGGACCTGGATAGTCTGGCAAACTTCCCAATCAGGACATCATTAACCAGCCATTAGTAACCATTGTGAAAATCCATTGTAAAACCATTTTGAGGACTTCTATATGCCTTTCCACTGATTGTCCACTCCTCCAGGGTAATAATTAACATTAGATGGGAGAAGGTGCAGCCTTCCCAATTTAATTTTGACTACTGGATGTGTTGCAGGTATTCAGGGAGCAGCCCCTTGCTCCCAGTTCCTCCAATCTGCCCAGATGTGTCTTGGGACCCATGTCCAATCCTGCATCCCAACTTGCAGTTGTTTGCACCTGACTGCCTAAGTGTTGGAAGCTAGACTAGTTCTGACAGACTGCTCCCTCCCTACAAGATCAGGAGATTCTCATAAAACTCGGGGAAGTTGCAATGAAAGAGACTTTCCCTGTGGGAAGCCTTCCCGTACCCCATCCTCCCCCCAAACAACAACCCCCCTCAAAGCCCAAACCAAACCAAAACAAAAACCCTGCCAGAGCCAGTGGAAGACCCAGTACAAAGATCCTTTTACTGGATGAAGCTTTTGAGATGTGGGACTAACATTTAACTTCCTCAAGACTTGCTTTGCACTGCAGTATTAGACCATCATGCTCCGGCATGGTTGTACTCTCTCTTTTGTCATCCAAGGGCATCAGTGTTCCCCAAGGACTTCCTTTAGCTCTGACTGGAGAGTAAGTATAAATCCTATGTTGGACCACAAAATAGTCCTCCTGGACTCGGGGGGCTTTCCTTTATAAACCAAACCCTCCAATACTGGTGCAGCCTCACCATCAGGATGGGTTTTTATTTTGTTTTGTTTCATTTTTTGGTGATCATCATCTGAACTAGAAGAATTTGGGCTTTACCCCTGATGGCCGCACTGTCCTACACACCCTCCCACAGGGACACAGGTCATACCTTTTGGTTGTTGGGGTAAGCTCAGAATCCCACCTGAACCAGTCGGGAAAACCTTGCTGTTTTCCTTCCCAAATGCCAGTGCTAGGGCATGAAGCAGATGTGCCCGGAAGATGCCCAGAACCTTGCCTCAATGCCTTAATGGGTCCAGGCCCTTCACATAGTTTTATGCATCGATCTGACCATATCTAGCCCATCAAGTGTGCAAGCCTCCCTCTCGGGTTGTGAAAGAGGGGCTCACCAGGGCACAGGCATCATCTGCTGCCTGCTTCAGAGATAGTTCAGTCGCCGAGATCTGCAAGACTGCGGTGTGGAACTACCCACTGATCCTTTGTTAAATTGTTAGGCCCTTGCCAGTGCTGGAGCAAGAAGGGCCACATCAGATGCCACCATCTAGAGCAAGTTGGGGGAAACGAGGAGGTGCACTTCGGGCACCTGCAGTGGGATTCGCACCAACACACACGATGGCAAGAGCTGTTGGTTTCCCTGCAATAACCCTTTGAAGACATGTAGGGATTCACTGATGTATTGTCCACCCTGCTTTATGGAGTCCGTGGCCACCAGGCCCAGGAGTTACAAGGGAATGGAGGAGGGGCTGCAGCTTTCTTGCCTTTCGTGCCATCCAACAGGAGCACGAGGAGATGCCGGGCATGTATGCATCCTCTGTGGATGTTGCCATTGCATGCTCCAAGCACCCAAATGACGATAGCTTTGAAATGCACAGTCGGGCAAGTACCCACTCTAGCCTACATGCCACGGGATGCTGCTGCCAATGTCAATGGGTTTATCTGCAAACATCCCTGCTGCAGTTAAATGTGGCATGCCCAGGACTCCTATCTCCTCACACCAGAAGATTTGCTTTCGGAAGCTAGCAATGCTGGGCATTTAGTGTTCAAAATCTTGTAGAAATTTAAACTGATGTTACAGATGTTACAGGTATTGGGCCGACCTTCCCTGCTGTAAGCAAACAAGAGGTTGGAGCTAGACAGGTGGCCTCCCCACTTTGCCCCCCATCTCTTCTATCAGTTGAACCTGATTAAACACCCCCACACTCCAGGGGTTAGGGGTGGGGTGGGGTGCGGGGCTGTGCACATCACGTGCCAGCGCTCCCGTTCGAGTGCTAGCTGTTGTCCACTTGCTCGCTCCCTGCCCTATACACCATCCACTAGGCTGTAACGCCTCTTAGACCAGGCCAGACCTGTCTCGGGGCATATGTAGCACGAGAAGGGATTTCTTCCCCCTTTCTCTGCTGCCCCTCCACCCCCAGTTCAGAGACCTTTAATCTTCCATGCTGTCTCAACCAAACCCCTCAGGAGAGAAGCTGGTTAATTAGACCCTTCTCTCCCCCCACAAAGCCCGAGACCCTGCTGTCTGGTGACCCCCTCTGGTGTGTGCCCGTGAAGCTTGTTATCCGTGGCGTACAGCAGGAGCCTTTGACAGAAAGGAGAGCAGCCGGGAAAGTAGGTTACACTGAGACTTTGGCTCCTCTGTTAGGATTTGCCACAGTTTGGGAGCTTAGAAGCTGGCCTGGTTTTTTTTTGAAGGGAGGCGGGGGGAGAAACCAAGTGCCCCTGTAAAGGGCAGGTGAAGCATGTCTCACCTGCACAGCATCACGCAATGCCCAAAAGAGCAGAGGAGGCTTCAGATTTGGCAATAGCCCCAAGCAGGTGCTTTTCCCTGCAAGATCCATTTTCAGAGTGGGAGGGATCAAGTGCTTCCCTGATGCCTCCCTTGAGCTGTGAAGGGCCTGCCAAGAAGGGGGTATCCTTTGGGTGCCCCTTTATACTGAAGATTAGGCTTTCTATTAGGGACCTGCCTGTACTATGCCTGACAGCCATGCCCTTAAACGTGCCACATCTTGATGCTGGCTTTCAGCAGTGCTAATAGGCCGGACTTCAGCGCTGCACCAGCATGGATGTGCTACTTCCCGGTCTGGAGATGCTGTATTTGAGGGTGCTGCTGCTGGGCATGATAAACTTGACTTCTAGGTCAGCTTTAGATTGTAATCGTACCCTCCAGAGCCTAGATGTCCCATCTACTTAATGTGGCTTAGATGTACTAGTTTCCATAGCACAGTGGAGTGACATGGTTAGGGTTCATGTTTGACTCCCTAACCCAAATGACCAGCATGTCCCATCTGCCTCCCATTTACAGCTGGGTAAATGGGGGGAGCCTTCAACCTGACTCTGGGGTAAGGGTTGAACTCGTGTTCGGAGTGGTACACAGAGATCCTCCACTCTTCTCCTCTATCATGTCTCCTCTATCACTCTTCTCCTCTTTCTTCTGCAGAAGGAAACCACAATTTTCTAGAGGTAGTAGTGTTTATGTCCAGCGGTTGTCTCCTTGGTGTTAAATGTTGCTACCGTGACACCAGTGAAGGGGTTAATCTGCTCTGAGA